CGACTTCTGCTACTGAGAAAACCTGCAAATGTGAAGAGGGTCCATTTTAAAATGAATGTGTGTGTGCTGTTACCTCAGTGTGTGTGTTGTGTTTGCAGGCTGAAGCGGAGCTCTCGCTGTCCAGAAAGATGGTGGAATGGAAAGCCTGGGAGCCGCTCATTGAAGAAGCTCCAGCTAACCAGTGGAAATGGCCCATCTGAAGCCCTCTTCACTCGCATGCATGTAGATTATGTTTATATTCAGGAATAAATCAACTCCGTCTATTTAAAGTGATGCCTTTTTGGTGTTTCTTTGGTAAATACAGCTTCCTTAAGTCTGAATTATTCGCCCTCTTGTATATATTTCCTCAATTTATATGTTTAACAGAGACATTAACACATTTATAATCAATAAGTTTTAATAACTCATTTCTTATAACATTTATTTTATCTTTGCCATGATGACAGCACATAATATTTGACTAGATATTTTTCAGGATGCTAGTATTCAGATTAAAGTGACATTTAAAGGCTTAACTAGGTTAACTAGGCAGGTTAGGGTAATTAGGCAAGTCATTATATCATGATGGTTTATTCTGTAGACTACCGAAACAAATATAGCTTAAAGAGGCTGATAATATTGAGCTTAAAATGGCTTTAAAAAAATTAAAACTGCTTTTATTCTAGCCAAAATAAAACAAATAAGACTTTCTCCAGAAGAAAAAATATTATAGGAAATACTGTTGAAAATTTCTTGCTCTGTTAAACATCATTTTAAACATCAAGAAATCACTCGGGTACAGTCATACAAGTATTTGGGAATTCACATAGACCGGTCTAACATGGGACACTCACGTAAACTGGATCTGTGAAAAGCTTCACCAAAGACTATATTTTATACGAAGGTTGTGGTTTTATGGTGTTGGTAAGAAAATCATGTACTTATTTTATCAAGCTGTGTTTGAAAGTGTTATCAGGTATGGTCTATCTACATGGTATGGCAATCTTTCTGTAAATCTGAAATCAAGAATTTTCAATATTATCAGAACTGCTACAAGACTAATAGTATAATAATACAACACTCTACGAGCAATGCACTCTGAATGAAGCTAAAAGAATTTTAAGTAACCCATCGCATGTACTCTTCCCATCTTACAAACTTTTACCTTCTGGAGGAAGATACAGAACTTTCCGCTGGAAACGGAACAGATTTAAGAACTCTTTTATTCCAGTGTCAATCAGACTATTGAACACTGAACAATAGTGTGTGTAATTCTTTCACATGTTGATTTATTCTTTTAAATTGTTATTGTGTCAGAACCTGCTGAAGTGTTGGGTGAGTCTACAGAAAATTTCCCCTTGAGGGATAATAAAGTATACAAACAAACATTTGGGAAATATTTGAAGAGGAATCAAAAATTCAGAGGAGGTCGAATCATTTTGACTTTAACTGTACAGCTACTACTGAGGAAATCATGACGACTTCATTTTTTTCCCTAGTGATTTTGACATTAAAAACAAGCTTGTTACCGTAACATAATTAAAAACAAAAGTCGACCACAAGATAATCAAGACAGCTAATTAAAACAGCTTTTTTAAATGACGAGGACATTGAGTTGAAAACAACAGATGAAAAATGATTAAAACAACTAACTTCTCTGTGATGATCGCTTCTTTTATCCTCATTTGTAAGTCGCTTTGAAGAAAAGTGTCTGCTGAATGAATGAATGTAACATAAAGAGAAATCAATTATGATAATGTGAATACGAGACTGCAAAATATTCCTGCACCGCTTCTCAAGATGCAGTGATTTCTAAATCTGTGACCCTGGAGCACAAAACCTTCATGATGTTGCACAGGAGTGCTTTTAGCAATAACCTAAAATACATTGAGGTAAAGTTGTTTTACATTGGCATGTTCATTCAGTGACATGCTCCCTATATTGTTTAATATCCTACTTTTAATATTAGGTCTGAAATTGCATCCAAGTATGACTTCAAAACAACATTAGCTCTATTTAATTGACTGTGAACAATGTACTTTGAAAGTCATCAGCTGCTAATATGATTTCCCTATTTAGAATTAGCAAACAGTATTTTTCTGAAATTACATTAAGGAGAAAATCTGAATGCAAATATAAAACCCACTCATTCAGTATGCAATGGATGAAACTGCAATGCTAAGAAATGACACGATTGGTTTTGTGCTCCAGGATCACTTACTGTATATATAGTTAAAACAAATTCTGTGAGGTCATGCACAAGGAATTTATTAGGAAATAACCTCTGAATTGAACTATTTACCAGTGATTTGAACAATGTAAGAAGAAAACACCTCAATGAGGAACCTCTAAACTGAGAGAATCAAATGTGCACATTGTTAAATCAGTTTGTTTACTTTGTGCTGAATTGAATAAAATGGGAATCGAGGCCCAGCTTGTGCTCCAATATAAAAAATCTAAATCAAAATCAAGCTAAAAAGCATGCATATTAACAGCAACAAGAAAAAGTAATTAGTTGCAACTTATAAATTGATGCAAAAATCCTTCACATGAGTGTTTACTCCTTATGTTTGATGCATAGTTTGCCTATGGACTATAAATCAGTATAATATTTAGTATTCATCACATACAGACTTTGCAATATCACTAAAATTGATGAGTCAATGGATGAAACTGCAATGCTAAGAAATGACACTTACTTTAGGTTTTGTGCTCCAGGATCACTCACTGTATATAGAATTAAAACAAATTCTGTGTAGTCATGCACAACTTTAATAATATAAGGAATTTATTAGGAAATAATCTGTGATTTTTAACTATTTAACAGTGATTTGAACAATGTAAGAAAACACTTACCTCTAGGAGGGACTTCTAAACTGCGAGAATCAAATGTGCACATTGTTAAATCAGTTTGTATACTTGGTGCTAAATTAAATATATATTAAAAAAGGGAATCGAGGCCCAGTTTGTGCTCCAAAATGAAAATTAAAAATCAACATCAAGCTAAATAACATACATATTAACAGCAATAAAGAAAAAGTCATTAGTTTGTACTTATTAATTGATGCTAAAATCCTTCACATGAGTGTTTCTTATGTTTGATGCATAGTTTGTCTATGGACTACTAAATCAGCATAATATTTAGTATTCATCACTTACAATCTTTGCAATATCGATAAAATTAGGGCTTAAAACATTCACTATGCAATGGAAGAAACTGCAATGCTAAAAAGATTTTAATTTGTGGTCCAGGATAGTAAGTAATTAGTTTTTTCTTTGTTTTTACTCATTAATTGTTGCTAAAATCCTTCATATGAGTGTTTAGTGCTTATGTCTTTCATTAGTCGATGCATAGTTTACTTATGGACTATAAATCAGCATAATATTTAGTATTCATCTCATACAATCTTTGCAACATCACTAAAATTAGGGCTTGAAACATTCACTATGCAATGAATGAAACTGCAATGCTGAGAAATGACACTTACTATTGGTTTTGTGCCTCAGGATCACATCTATAGAATTAAAAAAACACTGAGAATACTAATATTTCTACAAATATACATATTTAATAATATAAGGAATGTATTAGCAAATAACCTCTAATTTTAGTGATTTGAACAATGTAAGAAAAAACCTCAACGAGGAACCTCTAAACTGAGAGGATCAAATGTGCACGTTGTAAAATCAGTTTGTATACAGTTGAAGTCAGAACTATTAGCTTAGTTAACCTAATTTAGCCTTGAAATTTCACTTTAAGCTGTACAGAAGTGTCTTGAAAAATATCTAGTCAAATATTATTTACTGTCATCATGGCAAAGATAAAATAAATCAGTTATTAGAGATGAGTTATTAAAACTATTATGTCTAGAAATGTGTTGAGGAAATCTTCTCTCCGTTAAACAGATTTTTGGGAAAAAAAAATAAACAGGGGGGGGGCTAATAATTCTGACTTCAACTGTATTTGATGCTTAATTAAATAAAATGGGAATCGAGGTCCAGCTTGTGCTCCAATATGAAAAATAAAAATCAACATCAAGCTAAATGACATACATATGAACAGCAATAAGAAAAAAGTAATTAGTTTGTACTCATGAATTGATGCTAAAATCCTTCACATGAGTGTTTACTTCTTATGTCTGATGCATGCATAGTTTGTCAGCATAATATTTAGTATTCATCACATACAGTCTTTGTAATATCATTAAAATCAGGGCTTGACTCTGTTTAAACATTTAGCATGCAATGGAAGAAATGACAAACACTCTTCAATTCCTTCGGGAACATACAACAAATCTGTTTTTATTTTATTTCTGTACTCCTTATATTATCCTAGATCATTTTTTGTTTGTGCTTGCTTTCTTGTGTCCAAGTACGACTTGTGTGTTAATGGTGGACAAAGATTACGGTTGAAAAAAATGTAATAAAATGAACGCTGGTTATGAACGGATGCAGAGATCGACTGCTGATTTAGTATGAGAAATAGATGAATTAAGTTCATTTAAAAAATCAATTGTCTACAATTAAAAAAAAAACTGAATCATTCAATTGCTACGATAATCAAAACAAACATAACAAACAAGAATAAAAAGTAACTCTAGTCATATAAATGTGTTTTGGTCTGTCGGTGTTTTATATATATATATTTATTAGGTTCACACCTTTCTCCAGTTCTAGGCTACATTCAGCAATGCTTTTTTATATCTAAGATTTCCCCCAAAATAGATATACAGTATGAAATCATCTGCCGCTGCTACGTATAAATATTTCCTCAACAGTTATGTCCGACTAAACCTAAAACCACCGGCGATACAGCAGTGTCTGTTTTCCCCCCAAAGAGTAGAAATTTTGGCATTAGTTACAACAATAATATTATATCAAAGCATTTTAAAGTACAAAGGTAACAAAAAGGCACAATAAAAGACCAAATGACAGTGTATCCTGTACCACGCAGTCCTGTTTTTCCTCTACATCAGAGACTCCAGGCTTTCTGAAGGGTTTGCTGGGACCGTCCCGTTGTTTTCGGCGTATTGAAGCGCTCTTTCGTCCTCCTGTGTGCTGACCAGACTCAAGATCGCTTTGTAGAGGAACTGATACTGTTCCTGTGAATGGAGGAAGAGTGTTTTAGGATTCACATCACATCTTTCTTATTCACTATTTCTGTTGTTTTCTAGTGCAAAGATCTATTTATGCACTTGAGAAGCAAAATTATGGAGGTCCTAAGAGGCCATGCACTGATATATATTTTTTTCCCCTCATGTTTTCTTTTCTTGATTTATTTTCTAAAGTTGAAATCTGAAAACACAATTCTTTTATACATGTGCAACAGCTACAAGGGTAAGCATGAACTGGACAAACCTTCAAACAGCGGCAAACCCCAGCCATCCCCTTAGGAGGAGAATGCACTGCCTGACAAATGTCTTGTCATCGATCCCAGTTATAAGAGCAACAAATAATAACTTGACTTCTAGTTGATCATTTGGGAAAGTGGCAGAAGGTCGATTATTCTGATGAATCATCTGTTCAACTGATTACATTCCGCATGGACCCAATATTCTCACAAAAATCAGTCAAGTTTGGTGAAGAAAAAATCATGGTTTGGGGTTACATTCAAGATGGGGGCGTTCGAACATCAGCAGCCTGAGGTATCAATTCATTTGTGCTGCCCATTACATTACAAACAACAGGAGTGGCAAATTCTCCAGCAGGATAGCGCTCCTTCTCATACTTCAGCCTCCACATCAAAGCTTCTGTAAGCAAAGAAGGTCAAGGTGCTCCAGGATTGGCCAGCCCAGTCACCAGAAATGAACAATATTGAGCATGTCTGGGGTAAGATGAAGAAGGAGGCATTGAAGATTAATTTAAAGGATCTTGATGAACTCTGGGAGTCCTGCAGGAACGCTTTCTTTGCCATTTCAGATGACTTTATTAATCAGGGATTTGAGTCATTGCAGAGATGTATAGATGCAGTCCTCCAAGCTCATGATGGAGTCAGACACAATATTCATTCTGTTTTTACTGCAGCATGACTTTATATTCTATACTAGACATTTTTTTTCTGTTCAGTGACAAGACTTTTGTATAAGTCAGATCTTACTGTCCTAATTAAATAATTCAAAATCAGGGCATGATCATATGTTATTGTGGTAAAATAAGCGTAATCTAGAGGCCTTTCCTTTCATATAAGCCACTTCTGACACCAAATGATCAACTAGAAGTCAAGTTATTCGGTCGACATAACAAAAAGCTGTATTTTTTTTTGCTTTTACTTAATTATGTATTTATTGAAGGTTAAGAAATCAACTTTTGTTATGTCGAGATAATGAGAAAAATAAGTTGTGATAACAAGAAAACAATTTTTGATATGTCGAGTACATGAGAAAAGTAAGTCATGATCATAAGAAAGCAAGAAAGAAAATATAACAACATATAACCTGTAAGGACTTTCGCACAAAACAAGATGTTTTGTTTTTTCCCACAATAAAAGTAACAAATCAACATGAAAAACATCTGCTGTTGGGTTAAGAGAAATAAAGTTCATTTCGTGACTATGCTGCAGAAATTCATTCTTGATTTCATTCATTCATTCATTTTCTTGTCAGCTTAGTCCCTTTATTAATCCTTTATTAAACCGCCAACTTATCCAGCAAGTTTTTACGCAGCGGATGCCCTTCCAGCCGCAACCCATCTCTGGGAAATCATTCTTGATTTAAGCAACAAAAAATATACTTTGTGTAAAGAAATGCCAGTTGTTAATGAAAAGGAAATCGTAAAAATCCACCGATCCAATTCTCTTACAGTTTTCATTTAAAATATCTTATTACCCAAGACTTTTCTAAAAAAAAGAAATCTTCCACTATAAATGTTTATATGTTAATGCTGATATAATGTATTTTTTCTTCTTACAACATCATTGAAGACGCCGGGCCTCATGAGGTTGATCATTCTGGCGGTCTGATAGACGTCCACACTGTTCTCCTCATCCAGCTGATTAACCAGAGTCACCAGAGCACAAAATAAACCAGCACTCGACCCTCCACACCTACACACACACACACACACACACACACAGACACACACATATACAGCTGAAGTCAAAACTATAAGCCCTCCTGCATATTTTTCCCCCAATATCTGAGAGATTTTTTTCTAAATATAATAGTTTTAATAACTGATTTCTTTAATCTTTGCCATGATGACAGCACATACTATTTGACTAGATATGAATATAAACAAGTAGTTTGAATAAGCAGCAAAAGTAATTTTTTGAGTGACCCTTTCAAACTGCTTGAGTGTGGGTGTACTGCCCCTTCAAGAAGCTCTTTCATTAGTCAATGTTTGTGTAAATAATGTACCCATCGTGGATGAGGACGGGTCCCTCTCGCCGCGAGCTCTCCTCTCTGATTATATTGATGAGCTCAAAGCAGTTGCTGATGGGACTGTCAGGATCCGGCCAGCGGGGCGACTGGAACTGATGCACCTCCAGAACATAATCATCCTGTCACATACAACAACAACAACAACACAAAAACATGAAGCAATATTCATGTAACACCATAATTATAGAATGAGTTGATGATCACGTATTTAGCCTTTTATTAATTGTTTATTGATTACAATACTGCAGGGGTCACCAACCTTTATGAAACTGAGAACTACTTCTTGGGTACCGATCAATGTGGAGGGCTACCAGTTTGATAAGCACTTCTCAAATAACAAATTTCAACAATTATTTAACAGTGTAGGAAATACCCTGTATTTAATGTATCAATGTGCAACACTTTATTTTTATATATCTCTGCAAATATTAACATTTTTAAATGATTACTTCTATATTAGATGGAACTTGCTGGTAAGTGGCGCTATGGTGAGCTATTTTTAGAACAGGCCAGCGGGCAACACATGTGATCCATGCTGGTGACCCCTGCAATACTGATTGTTGAAGAAATGCACAGGAGGGCTAATCATATATATATATATATATATATATCTGACTGAAGCATGACTGGAGTGTATTGTTGTGGTGTTGTGTGTAGTTGTTGACCTTTAGGGCCTCCAGGATGAAGTGCTGCACCAGCACTGGCTCTTCATTGGACAGATTCAGACTGTCTTCATCTCTAAAGCTCACAGTGAACGTCTCACAGCTGATTGGTTCATCTTTAGTGGGCCAATAAACACACTCCGCCTCTGAGCTCTGAAATGACACGCCTCCATTACAGTTCAGCAGGAACTATGTGTGTGTGTGTGCATGTTTTACAATACTGCAGTTGTTTAATATTGATTTGATACATTAAAACATTGATTTTCGTTAGCATGGAGAAATATTGTAACAGCATTAATGATGATGGCATAAAGACGCCTTTTGTGACGTCCATCTACTCTAGAGTAATTTTGGTGCAACAGCTTTCTCTGTGTTTCAGCAAATGGAAAGATTTTTGGTGACAAATCTTATTTTGACACGTATTTTGGGAAAATGCTTTGAAAATTGTATAATAAAATCAACAATACTCTTAATTTCACTACTCTTTTGTTGTAGTTGTGCCTGTTTTTTTCACATTGACTTGCATTATAACCACATGTTTTGATTGCAAAGCCAAGACACCATATAATCATGCATTCTTGATTGTTGCTGGCTTTCCCAATTGGAAAGAGACAAATTTCTTTGTTTGTTTTTACTGTTTATTACTGTTTATTTAATGAAATAAGTATTGTTAAAAAATTGTACAATAACAGAAAACGTGTATCACTTAAAAAAAATCACTTTAAACTTTTACATATGCCTATAAAGTCACTTTTTTATCATGTAAAGATCCAGGGGGACTGATCAAGATCCCATAACGCAATTCAAAAGCATAAATATACAACAACGACAAAAAAACGAATGTTTTTTACAAGTGTAAAACTCACCATGTTGTGTGTGTCCGGCAGTGACACTATGATCTGAGTGTTGTGGTCCCAGATCATCCTCCAGAAGTCATGTATGGTGTTTGGCAGAGGATTCTGGGTAACGATGAACTCTCTGCTCTGATGAAAACCCTGTGACATGAACAAACTCATTCAGTCACTACTTAAATCACACACTCCACAAACACAAATACACACATTGATCATGATCTTCAGAATCAAGGAGGTTACCAGTAAATAAGAAGCATTGATGTAGTCTGATGATTCTCCAGCTGCTGCAGACAGACTGACCCTCGATCTCTCCACTGAAACACACACACACACACACATGCATCAAATCACTGATGAGGGAGCTCGACAGATAAATAAATTAAATACCATGAAAATAAAGTGAATAATAGAGACAGGATTAAAGAATATAGTATTTTTGGGAATTTAAGGTTCCCAAAAAAAATAAAAATAAATACAAATAATAAAATATAGCAGAAAGAGCAGAGAAATTAAATATAATAAAAATCTAAAAAATATTAAAATATAAAATACTTGAATATTAAAATATAAAAACTCATCAATTAAACAAAATATATAAAAACAATCTATTAAAACCCAAGGCTAGTTTATAAAACCTATGTATATAAATAATTGCATATTACTTATTCAGCTGTTGGAGCCATTTGTGATATTTATATAATTTCTAATTTATTTAAAAAAAATAAATAAATAAATAAAAATAAAAATAATACATTTTATTTATAATGTGCTTTTCTCAGTCCCAAAGCGATAAAAGGCACACAAGGCAAACAATGCAGAACAGTAAAAACAGTCATAAAATAAAATAAATAAAAAGACCGCAATAAAATATGAATGATTTAATACAATTGGATGATAAAATAACAAAAATAAGTTAAAAGCAATGTAAAACGGTGAGTCTTATAAAGTTTCCTTAAACAATCCAGAGAAACAGCATTCCTGATGCTGATGGGAAGGCCATTCCATAGCTTAGGTGCACTGTACGAAAAAGCACGACCACCCATAGTCTTCAGTTTACAGCGTGGCTGATACAGCAAGATTGCAGATGAGGAACGAAGACTACGGGTGGAAGTGGCCAGAGTAACCAGGTCACAAATGTAGTCACTGCTTTGTATGTTAAAATTAGAGTCTCAAAATCAATACGGGATTTAACAGGAAGTCAGTAAAGTTGCTGAAGTACAGGAGTGATATGAGTGATTTGTTGTATGATTATTGAGTAATTAAGATTTATACTATTATGTAGTATTATTCTGTGTCACGGATCGAGTGGTTTAGTGAAATGGATTAGCTCCACCTGCATTTCACGTCAGCTCACCTGCTTGCGTAAGGGCACACAGGTGATGGGTGATCAGCTGGCAGGAGAAGCTGGGAAACAGTGACCGTGTTTTGTTTGTAGCATTTATAAGACAAATAAATGATTCTTGAGATATGCATGCTTGGACGCATTGTAAACATCACTGCTCCATAATAACCAAAGGTTGTCAGAGACTGTTATAACAGTCGAAGGACAAAATATTTTAAAATGTTGTACTGCTGTTTGATGGACAGAAGTTTTTATCAACACATTTTAATCACAATAGTTCAAAATAACTAATTTCTAATATCTGACAGTACATAATATTTTGGAATTTTTTTAAGATACTAGTATTTAGCTTAAATTGCCATTTAAAAGCTTACCTAGGTTAATTAGTTTAACCTGTGAGTTAGCTTAATAAGGGAATCATTGGACAACATAAAAAAATAATAATTTAATAAGGAGACTTATAATAATGTCTTTAAAATTTATCTAAAATTTGAAAACTGCTTTTATTCCAGCCAAATAAAAAAAATACGACTTTTTCCAGAAGAAAAATATAATACACTGAAAAAAATTATTCAATGATAATTCGTTGGATTTACTCAATTTTTTACGTTAAGTAGTTGTAAGCAATTTATTTGGGCTGAATTTAAACAAACAAATTAAGTTGAACATTATTAAATTAAATTTGTTTGTTCAAATTCAACACAAATAAATAGTTTGCAACAGTTTTGCATGCAACACTTTTTTCAGTGAGGTAATGATGAGAAAACGCTTGCTTGCTCTATCAAACAATTTATAATAAAAAAACAATTATAAATAATTATTTATCTAATATTTACTATCTAACTATTATTAGGTTAAGTTTCATCTTCGAATGTATATTAATTATACATACTATATTTATAATAAACAGCCTTGAAAATGTATAAATATGCATACATAAAATGTTGAATTATTATTTATTTAGATTAATATTATACATGTTCCCAGAGAAGGGCATCCGCTGCGTAAAAACGTGCTGGATAAGTTGTCGGTTCATTCCGCTGTGGCGGCCCCGGATTAATAAAGGGATTAAGCCGACAAGAAAAAGAATGAATATTATACATGATTTATTCATTTATATACATTTGTAATATATGAAAAAAATCAAGCTACTTAATCAGTTTTTGAAATCTTATATTTATTTAAAAGATTAAATGACGCAATACTATAAATATGTATAAAAACGAATGAATTTGATATTGCACCACTCACCAGGCATAAGGCAAGCAGTCCTGTTTTTGGATACGTTGCTCTCCTTCAGAGCTGTCGTGTAGTCGCTTTGTTTTGCACAGCTCTGACTGACCAACTGCAAGAACAAAACAGCAAATCAATTCATCTCTCATTACAGAAATACAGATGTAAGCAAAATTGTCGGTACCCTTTAATTTGATCCAGACCAGTTTCACTTAAAAGTGAGCTGAATAATGACCAATGAAGTTTGGCCTTCTTGAACTAAAACTAAATCTATTATGAGCCAAACTGTTCGAGAGGGGTCAGGATGCAGATCTGGTGCAGTGCAATCTGTGTTGCATCCAATGCTATTTAATGCGCTCACCTAACCTAACCCCACCCGTCACCGGGACGTCACTCACTCCATTGAGTGCATTTGGTCTGACATTGCATCGCTGATTGATGCAATCTCAACTTGCATCATAAAGGCTGCATTAAGATACTATTGAACTGTTCTGCGTCGTGTTTTTAGAGCTTGGCTTTGGTGGAGTGTTTATGAGTGTGAATGTGTGCTGGTCTGCAGTGCTGGTGTGGGATGAACAGGATTCATTTAATTTGAAATCAATATCTGATTTTCATTCATTTACTTTCACACATTTCAGTTTCAAGTCACGTGACCACTCTACTTTTTCTTTCTTCAATGGAAGGGTACCAACAGTTTTGTAATAATAATGATTAATGCATAGAAGGTGTACATAAACCCAAGAGTCTGACCTTGAACTGTTTCTCCAGAGGGGTTTTGCCTGCGGGTCCTGGTGTGAGTAGACCAGACACGTATGTGTGGATGAGACTGGATGAAACCAGAGTCTCTTTACTCCTGATGGCCTCCACTAAAGCGTCATGAATGAAGACGTACTGCTCCTGATGGAAAAAGATATGAGATTTGCTGTAGTTTCTTTTTGAAATACTTTATTTATAGGATTTGTTGAAATAAATTTGCACAAAACAGAAAAACAATGATCAACAACAACAGCAAAAAAGCATCCCCACTGTTTATTAGTAAAAAAGAAACCCAAGATTGTAAAAAGGAAAATACAAAAGGATATACGATAAAAGCGAACCATTCATTCATTTTCTTGTCGGCTTAGTCCCTTTATTAATCCGGGGACACCACAGTGGAATGAACCGCCAACTTATCTAGCAGGTTTTTACGCAGCGGATGCCCTTCCAGCCGCAACCCATCTCTGGGAAACATCCACACACACATTCACACACTACGGACAATTTAGCCTACCTAATTCACCTGTACTACATGTCTTTGGACTGTGGGGGAAACCGAAGAGCTGGAGGAAACCCACGCGAGCGCAGGGAGAACATGCGAACTCCACACAGAAACGCCAACTGACCCGAGGGTCGAACCAGTGACCCAGCAACCTTCTTGCTGTGAGGCGACAGCTTTACCTAATGCGCCACTGCATTGCCCCAAAAGCGAACCAGTCAATGTATAATAGCAGAAAGGTGGAGCTGCTGTAGTTTGTGACATGACGTGAGCTGCAGTGCAAGTTTTACTCTGTTTACCTCTGTCTGCACTAAGTAGTTCCTCTGAGTGCGGATGTGTTTGAGGAAGCCCATGATGTTCACTGTGTTTTCCTCCTTTATCTGCTTCAACATGCTGTCGATCACGATGTAGGTTCCTGTTCGACCCACACCAGCACTGCAGAGCACACATTCACGTTCAAAAACACAAGTGTCATTATTCGGTTCAGTTTGCTTCAGAGAAGATGTACAGTAGCTTTAGTTCACTAGTGACACAGTTCATTGGTCATTATTCAGCTCAAGTGTGTGGAGGTTTTTATTCTATATCAGCAATTTAAATTTAAACATCATAATTCTGCCTTTTCCGTTCATAATTATTAATTAAATTTTATTTCTAAATTTATTCTCAGAATTAGATATTTCAAGAGTTCACACTGAGATATTGATTGACGCTGTTAGCAGGTTTGGCATGTCGGGAGAGAACCCTGCAGAGATAATCGAGACAAAGGCTCCCGTCCTGTCATTAAGGATGAAGGAGGTGTGAAATCAGGTACACTATCGGTCAAAAGTTTGAGGTCAATAGGATTTTTAAATGTTTAAAATAAACTTCTCCTGCTCATCAAAGCTGCATTTATTTAATTAAAAATACAGTACAACATGTAACATTTAATAACTGTTCAAAAGTAGCTCATTCATGCATTCATTCATTCATTTTATTCAGCTTATTCCCTTTACTAATGAGGGGTCACCACCGCGGAATGAACCACCAACTTATGCAACATACGTTTTACGCAGCGGATGGCCTTTCAGCTGCAATCCATCACTGGGAAAAACCCATACACACTCATCCACACTCATACATTACAGCCAATTTTAGCTTACCCAATTCACCTATAGCACATGTGTTTGGACTGTGGTGAAACTGGAGCATCCGGAGGAAACCCATGCAAACACAGGGAGAACATGCAAACTCCACACAGTTGTGCCAACTGACCCAGTTGAGACCAGCATTGACCTTTTTGATGTGAGGCGACAGCGCTAACCACTGAGCCACCGTGTTGCCCTCTAAATTGAAGTTTTATTTTAAATCTATTCTTAAAATTCTACATTTTAATTCTAAATGTATTCTCAGTCTTACACATTCATACTGATGTCACAATACTGCCTGTGTTGAACATTTAAATCACGGCTCTATTATTTCTTCAGAATTCTGAATTGAAATGTCACAACCCTACCTTTGTTCCCTCAGACTTTTAAATTTAAATCCTAATTCAGTTTTATTTGTCATGATTCTACATTTTTACGTCACAATTCTGCCTTTCCTTACCTCAGAATTCTAAATTTAAATCTCAATTAATTTTTTTGTGTCATATTTCTATATTTTAATGTCACAATTCTGCCTTTTCCACCTTCAGAATTCTACATTTAAATGTCACAATCCTGCCCCCTCCCGAGAATTCTAAATTTACATGTAAATTAATTAGAAACATCATCTTTTTTTTTTTTTTTTTTGAATTCCTGGTTAACATCTTGCACCTTTTTCCACCATTGTTTTCCCCCCACTGAACTTATAACTTAAATTGTGAGGTAAAGGTCATAATAAATATGTGCTTTCCAAAATTCTGTGGTGGAAAACATGAAAACTCCATGATAACTTTGCAAACATTGTTGATTCAGCTTCAGTTCCTTATTGGTTCAGCTCTTTTTAGGTATACTACAAACTTCCAGGCAGGTGTGTTCAAGCAAGTTGGAGCTAAACTATGCAGTACACTGGTCCTCCAAGACAGAGTTTGGACACCCCTGAGCTGGTCTGTAGTTGTTTGTTTGTAGTAGTTTGTAGTATTAGTGTTGATGCCAGAAATGCATTGTTTGTGCTCTTTACCAATCAGCTATATTTAAAATCTAAAAAAACACATTTAATTCAGTAGTGAAGCTGAAAGCAAAACAAATACATTATACAGCAAAACTATATTCAATAGGCCAGCTTTTTGTCATACATCCACTCATTCTTTTCCTCATCTGATTATATGTGTGCAATCAAATCAATTCAAGCAAAACAATTTGTTAAATATACAGTTGATGTCAGAATTATTCGGCCTCCTGTGAATTTCCGTTCCCTTTTCAAATATTTCCCAAATGATGTTTAACAGATTTAGGAATTTTTCACAGTATTTCCTATCAATTTATTTCCTGGACAAAGTCTTATTTGTTTTATTTCGGGGTATAATGAAAGGAGTTTTAAAATATCCTTTTAACATCAATATTATTATCCCCCTCAAGCAATATTTGTTTTGGATTTTCTACAGAACAAACCATCCTTATACAATGACTTGCCAAATTACCCCAACTTTAATCTATTCAACTTGAATCTAATGTCACCTTAATCTGAATACTTGAAAATCATGGCAAAAATAAAAGAAATCAGTTATTAGAAATGAGTTATTAAATCTATCTTTCCGTTAAACAGAAATTGGGGGAAAATATACAGGGGACTAACAATTCAGGGGGGCTAATAATCCTGACTGTAACTGCTTACCTGCAGTGCACCACCACAGGCCCCATCTCAGCCGTTCTGGCCTGTGAGGATGTCCTGATGAAAGACAGCAGGGGCAGTGTGTATTCTGGGACGCCCATGTCAGGCCATTGAGTGTAATGAAAGTGAAGCACCGTCCTCTCCTGACTGCGGCCTTTCTGAGAGCCCTGATGGAGGAAACATGTCAGAAAAATGTAAAAATGCATATTCCTTCTCAATGATTTCTGCGATTGTACAGTAGTTACTGACCTTCTTGATCTGGACATTCCTCAGTGTGAATGTCCTCAGTGTGTAGTAGGCCAGAGTTCTGCTGCTCTTAAGGGTTACCAGAAAACAGCCGTAGTCTTCTTGATTCTCCAGAGGCCAGTACTGGTCACATTTCCTCTGTTTGACACACACATGCATATATACAGTTGAAGGCAAAATTTTTCACCCTCCTGTGATTTGTTTTTCTATTTTAAATATTTCCCAAATTAGTTTTCATAAGGAATTTTTTTACAGCATTTCCTATAATATTTTTTCTTCTGGAAAAATCTGATTTGTTTTATTTATTTATTGCATTATAGCTGGAATAAATGCAGTTTTTAATTCATCTATAACCATTTAAAGGTCAGTATTATTAGCCCCCTTAAACAATTTTTTTTGATTGTCTACAGATCAAACTATTAGGTTTAGAAATGGTGTTGAAAAAATCTTCTTTCCGTTAAACAGAATTTGGGAAAAAAACAAAGCGGGCTAATAATTCAGCAGGACATTTTATTGTCGTTTATTGCAATTAATGTTAAAAAGGGTCTTAAAAATTAAGGTTCATAATCAACTGGCATTGATGTATCTGTGAAGAACCCGTGTAGGCTCTTTAAAAACTTTCTTCAATCTAGGGAAAAGGTCTTTAGTGTTCTTTATGTCATGAAAACATTGTTCAAACTAGGGAAAACTTATTTATTATTCATATTATGAAACCTTCTTGAAACTAGAAATCAAAGTTTTTAGTGTTCTTTATATTAGAACTTTCTACAAATAGGAAAAACGCTCTTTAGTGTTATTTATATTATGAAAACTTTCTTTAAACCAGGGAAAAAGTAAAAAAAAAAAAAGATATTTATTGTTATTTATATTATGAAAACTTAAAAAGAAGAAGAAATAGACTCTGTTAAGAGGAGCAAAAAATGCAGGGTTTCACACAATTCATTCATGTTGTCCCAACACATATCGATTAAGTTAACTCAACAAATTTCAGTGGATTTAACATAAAACAATTAAGTTGTCTCCAAAAAATCTCAAGAGTTGTGATGTTTCAGTTCAATTAAAATACGTAGCCTTAACAAGCAGCAGAAAAAACCCCAGAGTGAACTGTTCTTTAAAAGGTTATTTTGAGAAACCAAAATGTTTTTTCTATTGTATTATTGCAAAGGAAAAATATATTTAAAACCTTCATTTAAAAGTGCATGGATGTTAAAGGATGTTAAAGGAGTGCCAAAGAGTGACCCCTTATTTCTTAAAATCTAAGGCTTTTTATTGGCATTAATGGTTTCAAGAACTCTAAACATCAACAAACATTTAATCTCCCAGCACTCTTATAAAATAGGTCATTTTTAAAACTGTTTGAAATTATTTCACTGGAAAAAAAAACCTTTAGATGTTTTGTTTTTAAGAATGTAGCCTATATTAATTAAAATTATCCATATTTACTGAATTATTTAAAAGTACTCAAAGCCTTACCCGGCCCTTCTCCACTAGGTTAGTGATCATGACAATCACGCCCACGTTCTGCTCCCAGATCATCCTCCAGAAGTCCTCCAGACTGCCCTTCAGTGGACCCTGGGCTGCTATATATGCTTTCGGCTGATTGAATCCCTACAGAGAATCATCCACAAACAGACTTCATCATTTCTTTTCTCCATTTCTTTTTTGACCATTTTGAGGCAGCTCAAAGTAAATGTTCCCTTATGTTTTTTTTTTCTGTGTGTGACATTAAATAAAAATTATGTTAAAAAAAGTTTAAATATGGTGATGGCATCATAATATTTATATTCATAATATAGTTTATACAATTTTACCATGTATACTATAGTTCAAAAGCTTTAAAATAAATTATTCGATCAAAGGTGGTAAAGACATTGTTACAATACAATACAATATCAAATGAAAGCTGTTCTGTCCATCAAAAGTCCAGATGACAGATTAAAATCCAGATTTCCATGGTTTTCACAAAAATAAGAACTCTTTTAACTTATATTATACAGCATGCTATAACTTATACTTATATAGCATACATTAGACTCATTTTTAAGGATCATGAGACACTGAAAACTGGAGTAATGAGAGTTAAAGATTCAATTTTACACCATATGAATAAAATATATATTTTTAAACGTTAATCCTACTTCACAATATTGCACAGCCTTGGTAATCATGAGAGACCTTGCAAAAACACTTAGGGAATGGCAAACTTGAAGTGTGTGAGGTGAAAATACAAACAGTGAAGTGAAAATACTCCAAAAACTATTATTCTAGAACATTACAGCATTTAAAAATATATAAAACTCAATGTGGGCGGCTCAGTTGTCAATGGTTCTAGCCTCAAAGCATGAAAGTCACTGGTTCGAGTCCCAGTTTGCATGGGTTACCTCCTGGTGCCCCAGTTTTCCCCACAGTCCAAAGAAATGCACTATAGGTGAATTGGGTAAGTTAAATTGGCTGTAGCGTATAAGTGTGTGTGTGTGTGTGTGTGTGTGTGTGTGTGAATGTGAGAGTGTATGGGTGTTCCCCAGTACTGGGTTGTGGCTGGAAGGGCATCTGCTGTGTAATAACATATGCCAAAATAGTTGGCGGTTCATTCCACTGTGGTGACCTGTCATAAATATAGGAACTAAACCAGGGGTCTCAAACTGCCGGCCCGCAGGTCATTTGCGGTCCCCCTTCTCCTACCTCCGGTCCACAACTGCCGTCAAAATATAACGTGATACAGCCCACCAAAACATATTTTTCAATCATTATTTCAATTTGCCACCTACTGGACATTTAAAGCACTGTGTTTGGGTTACCTTCGGTTTCTCTCAGTGTGCGGTCGAGAGTAATGCACATGCAGATTATTTCTGGAGCTCATTTAAATGTTGAAATATATGTCCGTAAGTGCTGCAAATAGGACAATTTTGCTAATATTCAATTAAAATGGCCTCATTTAATAGATGTGCATTAGTAATTTAACAGCTGGCTGAAATAAACATGTTAAAATAAAAATAAAAATAAATAAATAAATAAATAAAAATAAATAAATAAATAAATAAATGAATGAATAAATAAATAAATAGATAAAATAAATAAATGAATAAATAAATAAATAAATAAATAAATAAAATTCATGTATTACATATACTTTTCCCCTGTTTGTTGTAATTTTACAAAAAAAAAAAATAATAATAAATAAATAAATAAATAAATTAATTAATCAATTAATTATATTGAGAAGAGCAATTGCTAGTATAATCACTAAAGTTACCCAACCTGCTTTTTGCAGTTCTTGCTTTTACTTAAACTTTTGGTTAAGCAACTTTTGATTGAGACAGAATAAAAATAATGATTATTAGGCCTAGTATTATTAAATTGTAGTATTTTATAGCAATTTAAACTACCCCTTTAATATGTATAACAAAAAAAGGAGCTGTGATACTCTGGGGAAGAATGTCTGAGTGCATCAATTATATCAGGTGTCTACTTTTTTGTTGTGCTTAAATGTTAAAGCAGCCTTCTTATGAATGGTCAGTCACTAATATGCCCCCCTCGCCAATTTGAGTTTGAGATCTCTGAAATAAACCGAAGGAAATGAATGAATAAAACTTAATGTAAAATGCAGTATAGACTTACATCCACATAGTTAGCATTAATGTAGTCCCCTGTCTTTCCATCCTTGTCAGAATTCTGAGAGAGTTTAACTCGACTGTGATCATCTGAAAGCACAAAAAGCATTCTTTTTACCATCTCTAAATGCACATGGACATCTTATTGTACTGACATAGAGAGCTCATACAGGCCAGGATGTTAATGTATCTGTTCTTGCTCTTATTATCCGGATGGTTGGAGCTGTCTGTTGTAATGCCCATGTCTGCAGTGCAGCCCTGAATCTCCTAAAATGAATCAAATATTTAAATCCATCACTGATTAAAGTAGATTTCAAATCAAGCTTATTTCATTTCAACATGCACACTAAGCATGCACAGAGCAACACTGACACGTCAAAACAATGCAAAAAGAACAAGTAACAAAAGGGAGATCCGTCTTACCTCGTAAGACTCTTTCAAGATCTAATAAGGGAGGGGTGAGAATGCAGAAAAGCACAATGAAAGTCCGGACAAACAGAGAGGCGCCAGTGCAGGAACATGAGGCATGTGTTTTCATGCTTCAGATGGGTTTAGAGGGGGCTGTTTCTGTGTTCATGCAGTGTTTCCTTGCACAGACGCCTGTACATACATGCTGCCCCTCACATACGCTCCAAAACATTCATGAATTTATGTCATCAATGCACTGTTTGGTGTATTTATATTACATATTAAAGGTGCTGTGTTTAAGGCTATGCATTTGAAAAAACTGCAGATTGCAATCACAAGTACCTCAAACTCTTTGGAGAATTTGTGATTTGCATGGAGGTCAGCAACATGTTTAACAAAGTCCTTAACAGGGAGAGCTTCGTTGTCCTCTGAAAACACAAAAAAAGAGGACATTTTTATATATAAGTAATTTTTATTTATGAATTGAAATATTGATGAAAAATGTGCACATTTACTTAAATACAGTTATCTTGTTTGGTTGTTTTATTTTATTCATTTATTTTTCAAATAAAAATATATAATTACTTTAATATAAATATAACAAATAAATTAAACATAATAATAATAATAATAATAACAATAACAATAACAATAACAATAACAATAACAATAATAATAATAATAATAATAATAATAATAATAATACATTTGATTTATAATGTGGTTTCTAAAACCCGAAGCACTACAACAACAGAGAAATCAAACATGCAATAAAATACAAGAATACATTTTAATCATCAAAAATTATAAAAAACAAAATGCAATCTTAACGATGAAATTTTAGTATCTTCTTTAAAATAGCTATTGTTGATGCATTCCTTACAGAATAAGGGAGAGGATTCCATAATATTTATTTACTATTTATACATTCAAAATAAATGCAGGTAAACCAATTTAACAATTTTACATAGAATATATGTATTTATTTAAATATAGTACTTAATAGTATAAGTTAATATATAAAAGTTTATATATATTATATTAAAATAAAATGAGGTATATTGGGTATATAATGGGTATATTTTTTATATTTTATTTTTTATATTTGAAATATAATGGGTATATTTTTTATGTTAATATACATTAAAATAAATAAATTAAATATTCAACTAACTAACTCCACCAAATAAATAAACAAACAAATGAAGTGAATGAAAGAATGAATGAATAAACAAAAATTAATAAACATAAAAATTAAAAGTTTCAAATATATAATTATTAATATTTATTTATCCATAAAAAAACCTGCAGGTAAACCAATTTATTATAGAATATATGCATTTATTTCAATATATATCTTAATTATATAAATATATAAAACATTATTAAAATAAAATAACTATATATATATATATATATATATATATATATATATATATATATATATATATATATATATATATATATATATATATATATATATATATATATATATATATATATATATATAGGATATATAATTTTAATACAATTAAATTAAATAAATGAAATTTTCATTTAACTAACTAACTGCCTAACTAACTAACCACTAAATAAATAAACAAATAAGTAAATAAATGATTAAACATAAAAATTAAAAATATTTTTTTAATTATATGATTATTAATATTTATTTATTAAAAAAAACATGCAAACAAATTTATTATACAATGTGTGTACTACTTTAAATATATTACTTCATTATATAAAATAATATATAACATGTTTATTAAAATAAAAATGATTATATTAGAAAATGTATAAATGATTTTTTATTTTAATATAAATTCAATTAAATAAATGAAATATTCAACTAGCTAAGCAACATTTCTTCATTTAATTGAATTTACAATAAAATAAAATTATTATATTATAAAATGCATAAATTATTTAATTTATTTTTATAAATTAAATATTCTAACTAACTAACTAACTACCAAACTAACTAACTAAATCATCCACTAAATAAATAAATAAGTAAATGGATGATTAAATGAATGAATGAATGAATAAACGAATGAACGAACGAACAATTAAATATTTTTGTTACCTGTAGGCAGTAGAAGAGGAGTTGATGGAGCTGAAATGGCTCGGGCTGAATTGGTGTCCTCTACATAAAAATGTGCTGTCTGAAAGCATCTCCTGCAAGATATACAGATGCAAATATTACAGAAAATACTGTGCTTTATTGCAATAAAAAATAAATAAAATGCAACAAAATCAGTGTAAATTAAAAAAAATGTAACATTTCTCTGTAAAAAAAAGTCACACAGAGACAAACTACAGCAAATATTCTCTCCCTGTTTTGTTTTTGATAATCATTTACCTCCAGTAGATGAGGATGCCGACCAGCACTACCAAACACAGCACAGTTAGTGTGGAAACTATAGCCAGAGGAACAACAGCCCGTTTCTCTGTCTCTGTCCCTCCAACCATCCCAACACGAGACTCTGGACTGCTGTTACTCGCCTCTGTTGGAGGACACACAGTCAAGTCTCAGCATAATCTCATCATTAAACATAATATCACATAACAGCTATATTTATACGCTATATTTAATCAGCAGTTGAATGCATGCTTACATGAAGTCAACTAATCCAGCAGCTACACCTTCAGAAATTTCACTGGGGAACACATTGTCAGAAAGTTTCTACTGCATGTCATTTACCACCAATGATCACTTTCACTGGCAGTGCAACTGTTTGCAATAGTATCTGGATGTAGCCTTTAAATGCAAGCTGAGACTGCAAGTTTCAGATTAACAATGTCAGACACAATGCACTCAATGGAGCTAGAGATGTCACTGTGAGGGGTAGTATTAGGGGTGGGGTCAGATGTGCACATAGCGTTGCATGTAGTTCAGATTGCAAATGCCTCAAGTCTGCATCCAGATCCCTTTCACTGTTTGGTTTACCTTTTGTGCATAGGTTATTAATCAAAACTCCAAATTTGCTTAATGAGTGGTATCAGGAACACAATTCAACCAAAAAAAAAAAAAAAACTGGGGGTTTGGCGCGGGCCCTTGATAATGTCTCTGGGGCCCCCCTAAATGTATGGGCCCTTAGAATCGTCCTAACTGAACCCACCCCCCCCCCCCCCCCCCCCCCCCCCACCCAACCACCCAATCCCCCTAAGCGGCGCCCCTGCGAGATACTGCATTTTAAGTGTGTTGCTATGCTTATTTCAGTGGTTCAATTACCATTTTAGCTGCTAGATGGCAGCACAAGACCACTTATTGTTGCTGTCTGTGCTCATTACAACATAATAAAATAAAACAGCATACTTTTGCATTAGCACAGTCCTATCATAATCATTTTACCCTGGTGTTAGCCTGAAAATCCCCAAAAAAATTCAACACCTCACAGTTATTCAAGCACATGTGACATTCTAAACCAATGGCCTCAAACTCAATTCCTGAAGGGCTGCAGCTCTGCAGATTTCCACTCTAACCACCTCCAACAAGGGATGCAACGATTAACCGATTGCACTATTAACCCTGGTTTAATTCATCATAATTAATTAACCATAAAGGCTTCTCAACACCGCATTTCAGCACGGAACAAAACTGCATCAAAGTTATGCCAGCTGTGTAAGTTTCGAGCTTGTACACTAAGACAATTAACCACGCACACTAGATTAACTGTGGCTGAGCCTATTAACTAAGGGGACATTGTGTGTCTTTGCGCGTGCAAGTTTGTTATTTCCAATAGAGGTGCATGGCTTGTGCGCGTTTATTAGGATTGACGTGCTCTTGCTTTCCAGCCTTACCTAGTTGAAAGAATGCCGCGAACGCACCATGAGTCACGTGACAAGAACTGGACTGATCAGCTTCATCCTTATTATGAAATATACACATTTCTACTCCAAAGAGAAAAAAATACAATTCAATACATTTATACATTCTTATTTTTATTTATTTATTTATTGTCCTGTCATTTATTTTTAGTGTAAAATTATTACTTATGTTTAAATGCAAAAAAAAAAAAACAACAACAACTTTTTAAAATTAATTTTAAGTCCAAAGAGAAATGGACTATTGTTTGTTTTTATTATTGTTTTGTCATGTATTATTGAGTTACTGAGCAGCAATAATCAACACTTTAATATAAGGAGTTTTGATGAGATTTACTAAACTAGTAGTGTTTTGAAATTAATGAATGCATAATAATCATGATAACCGTGAAACCGGGATTATTTCTCAGACTATAATCGTACAACCAAATTCCATAATCGTTGCATCCCTACCTCCAACTCAAACCTGCTTAATAGTCTCTAGTAGTCTTAAACACCTTGATTAGTTGGTACCTTAGTACCATCTCTTGCCTCTCAAAATGGTCAAATTTAATGCCTTTCAGAAGAGCTATCAGGGCAACTCTCATCTTCCAACCATCCAATCTGTTCCCAAAGGACAAAATCATGCAGAGACCTAAAATATTTTCTCATTTCAAAACTGTTTTAAGTGGCTTTACGTCAGAGTACATCCAAATCCAAAAACAAAATGAAGTAACCAGGTCAGGATTTGCCTAATTTCTTCTTGACTTTAATGAAATCCTTTTGTAAGGTCTCTATCGGAAACAAATAATGGGAAAGCATGTCCTAATTGTGCAGAGTTAGACGTGTTCCTGAGTTAATGTATATTGTTGATCATGGAACATCATTCCTGTTAGAAAACATAATCCACAAATAACCCTTACCTTAAAAAAAATCCCTAATTTTAAATTGCTGCTATGAAAGATAATAAAAGGACTATTTTACTATCCAATTCATGGTGATCTTAGGTTGATTTTTGAGATTAATTTTGTGTTCTGCAAAGAAATGCATTAAAATAATCCTTATTCTTCAATTGTAAGTCCCTGCAAATATCATTTGTGTGAAAAGGAACATGTGCTCGGCGTCATGCACAAGTTTTACCTGCATGGTTTTCCTCTTGGATATTGAGTTTAGGAATTATGAGCTGAATGGGAATATCCTCAGTTTGGGAGATCATTGATCCGCCTTGACCTGATCCAGAGTCAGATTCAGCTGACCAGGTCACCCATGACAGAAAATCCTGGTTTTGTGGTTTATATGTGGAGGAAGCTTCACGCTCGCTCTCAAAGAAGAAAGTAGAGGGCAGTCCTTCATGGTTTTCCTCTTGGGTTTTCCTCGGATCAGCATTTTTAGGAGCCGTGCGGGTTTGCTCCAGCTCCCATTCCCGGTCGAGCTCCTCCAGGAAGATTGCAGATCCAGACCCGCTGAACTCTCCTTGTCCGTCTGAAGGAGGAAAATGAGCAGATCCCTCCTCCAAAATGATGGTTGGAGAGCGGGTGGAGGATTCATAGAGACTGGTGGCATCACTAACCATCAATACTCTTTCATTATTAAATGACGTGGCTGTAACAAACACGTCTGGAGAGATAAAGGGGCAGTTCACACAAAACTGAAAATACATTTACTTTTTAAAGTCTTTCTGCATCTTTATGTTGAACACAAAAGAAGACACTGGAAATCTTTAACTTTTGAAATCTAAAGTAGAGCAATTCCATATAAATGTCAACCTTGCCATGAAAACAAAGTTTCGGCCAAAACAGTAAAACCCTTTTTAGTTTTTTGATAGGCTTGTATCTTACAGTACTGCAAAAATACCAAAAAACGTCTCTGTCAGTGTTTTCAAACAATTATATTTGATTTACCAGTCACAAAATGGAAATTTCACATCTGCCACATCCATAACCAAGCTTTTTCCTCATAAATGCCGAGTCTTAACCTTTTGATAAGCATTATTTCTTTTGAGTGTGGTGTATACTGTAAACTCGCATACTTTTTTTGTCACCTCCATAGCACCAGTGTTGTGGGTAACGCATTACAAGTAACACAAGTTACTTAATATATTACTTTTCTAAGTAAAGAGTAAAGTAATGCATTACTTTTGAAAAATAAAGTAATAATATTTGAGTTACTTCTTAAAAAAATAAAACGCGAGTTTAATTAATTAGCTTATAAAAATAAACTGCTGAATTAAAATTAGTCACAAGGAATAGCGCAGTCAATGAGAGAATGTGTTCATTATTTTGAACGCATCGAAGAAAAGGAAAAGGGGATTGTCTCAACGGACATTGACTCTACTGAAGACAAATAGTACAAAAATAGCAAATACATTGCTTTAAACGTTCAATAATCTGTATATACCGCATGTAGAGCTCAGGGGTCACTGTCAGGAAGTTCTTAGATAATATTATCCTAAAATATTTTATATATAATATATAATATTATAATATATATATTTTTTTCATGTGTTTTTTAAAGGTAAATGTAGATGTAGGTCATACAGTGTGTTTTTAATTGCAGAGCTCCTCTATTAAAAAGAGAAAAAAAACTCTGAAAGAGATCAAGCCTCAGCCAGGTAATAAAAGGTAACTCAAAAAAGTAACGTAATGCATGGTTTTTACTTACCATAAAAAGTAAGAAAGTAACGCAACTAGCTACTTTTACAGGGAGTAACTAAATATTGTAATGCATTACTTTCAAAAGTAATTTTCCCCAACACTGCACTGTGCATGTTTATTTTCCTCAACTAAAATATAAAACATGCTGACAGACTGATATTTTATGATCCCTTAACTATGTGGTTAGGTGTTTTGGAAAATATAAACTGATGTATTAATATACTGTTAACATTCTCTGGGTTTATACAGTTGAAGTCAGAATTATTAGCCACCCTGAAAGATTAGCACCCCTGTTTATTTTTCCCTAATTTCTGTTTAACGGAGTATTTTTTCAACACATTTCCAAACATATTAGTTTTAATAAGTAATTTTTAATAACTGATTTATTTTATCTTTGTCATGATGACAGTGAATAATATTTGACTGGATATTTTTCAAGACACTTCTATACAGCTTAAAGTGACATTTAAAGGCTTAACTATGTTAATTAGATGGCAGGTTAGAGTAATTAAGTTATTGTATAATGATGGTTTGTTCTGTAGACTATCGAAAAGAAATATAGCTTAAAGGGGCTAATAATATTGACCTTAAAATGTATTTTTTAAAAATTAAAAAACGCTTTTAGTCTAGCCAAAATAAAACAAATAAGACTTTCTTCAGAAGAAAAAATATTATCAGACATACTGTGAAAATGTCCTTGCTCTGTTAAACATCATTTGGGAAATATTAAAAAAACAATTCAAAGGGGGTCGAATAATTCTGACTTCAACTTCATGTTTAAGATTTTACTGCAAATATCACATCTGTAATGCTGGAATTGCTCACAAGGGAATAAAAATACTATGGAAGTCAAAGATAAAATATCTTCTTTTGTGTTCAACAAAGGAAATAATATTAGGCTTGGAGCAAGGGGAGGAGTAAAAGATGACAAGATTTTCATTTTTGTCTGAACTGTCCTATAAAGACTAAACAAGCACGTCAAGGAAAACCATCTCGCAATACCTAAAGCCCCCATCTAGTAGGCGCCGTCACCATGAGCAAGAGAAAGATGGCTGAGTGCACAAGAGGAAGAAAGAAACCACCACCATGAACTCAAGACTGAGCCAATCAGTTGAGAAGAAAGATTCCAGCGGGTGTTTGATGATAAACACAGGGAGCAAGAGTATTTCTAGAGTTTTCTAGAGCAATCATAGTGTTATTTCACTGCAGCACCATCACCTTGAGAGCAACCAGGAGTTGCAGGTTCAGAAACAGGTCATGCCTTACTTCAAAGTTTTTACAAATGGCATTGTATTCACTTGTGCATGATATCTTAAACCTTTTGATCTTCTTTCACCATGTAATTTTTTAATGTCCAAGTTTGAAATAAATTCACTGCTAAGGTCTCAGAGAAGATTAAGCATGTATCATGCTTTTAAAAGCATGCTTAAATTTGCTTGTGTTATTAATAATACCATTTAATATAACAGTAAGTCATTTATTCGTTCATTTTCTTGCCGGCTTAGTCCCTTTATTAATCTGGGGTCGCCACAGCGGAATGAACCGCCAACTTATCCAGCAGGTTTTTACGCAGCGGATGCCCTTCCAGCCGCAACCCATCACTGGGAAAGTAAGTCATTTAAAAATGTATAATTATTTAACAGAGTATTAATGAAGATGAATAAGATGGGGAAAGACTAATGCCTCTATAATGACGCAATCACCAAACTATCCAGACACTACTGCTAGCTTAATCGCTAGTCATTAATTTTCACAACCAGCACATCTATTATATTCCTACAAAGCAAGTGAGCATTTAGTGAAATGCGCATAGTAAGAAAACACCCTGAACAACACTTACTTACCATTAAAGAGTGGCTGGGTGGTCTGAGAAATGATCTTCATGGATGCTGAAAGCGAGGATCCAGTGGTGGCGTTAGCTGTTGAAGATTCATTTGCTGGTTGTTTTGGGGGAGAAGTGGATGCTTTCTCTGTATTTTGATCAATGAGGAGGTTATTATTTATTGTCGGGGTGATGTTTGTGGTGCTGGAGTTCAGGACATCCTCATAATAGACGTCTGTGACCACTGTGTTGCTTTGAGGAAAGTGTCCGCTGTCGTCTGGAAGGAGTCTGTTTGCCGGACGTTTGGTTTCATTTTTTCTGCTTTTGTTTTGAACGGGCGGCTGTGAAAGCGAAGACTCCTCTGTTATTTTCCGCCGGACTGTGATCGGGGTCGTTCTGGAGACGGGGAAGAGGAAACCCGGCTGGTCAGTCGATGTGGTGATGGAGATGGAGCTCCCGGAGTCACGGATGAGAAATCGGCCTGGCGGAGGCTTTGAAGAAGGTGCAGATGTATGTTCCTGAATATAATATGTAATTTTTAAACCACGTGCACAACTATTGAATGCTTTTATGATTTATAGTTGAAGTCAAAATTATTAGCCTTTTTTAAAAAATAATTGCTAAATGATGTTTACCAGAGCAAGGAATTTTTCACAGTATTTCCTTTAACATTTTTTCTTCTGGAGAAAGTCTTATTTGTTTTATTTCGGCTAGAATAAAAGCAGTTTTAATACCATTTTCAGGTCAATATAATTAGCCCCAAGCAGTATTACTTTTTGATTGTCTACTGAACAAACCAACATTATACAATGACTTGCCTAATTATTGTACCCTGTCTAATGAAGTTAAGCCTTTAAATGTCACTTTGAGCTGAATACTAGTGTTTTGAAAAGTATCTAGAAAACCTTTATGTACTGTCATCATGGTAAAGATAACTGAAATATACAGGATGGCTAATAATTCTGACTTCAACTGTATATTCAGAAAGAAATATTACCTCATTATATTCCTCCGATTCAGCTAAATCGCCATAGGGATCAGGTTCATTTACTGCAGGGTCAGAGCAAAGCAGTAAAACAAACAAACAAACAAACTGGTCATGCTTTATTTTAAGGCACAATTCTCAGTTTCAACAAGTTATTAACAAAGACAAATCATTAACCTTTTCTCAATAAACTATTTAGGGTTCACAAAATCTGGTAGCCCAAAGCCCTTGGGCTATTTTTTTTTCAGTCGGGCTACCAAAATCTATTTACATCATGCCTGGTGGGCTATCTAGAAAAAACAGTAGCCCCGTATGTTGGCCTATCAGATATTGCGAGCCCTGCTACTACTTTGCTGTTTATTAATAGTGAGATCTGGTAGCCTAAAGTCCCGGGGCTATTATATTTTTCAGTCGGGCTACTAAAATCGATCTACATTGTGCCTCGTGGGCTATCTAGATAGAAAAAAAAACAATCGCCCTAGGACGTCGGGCTATCAGATTTTGCAAGCCCTGCTACTTTGCTGCTTATTAATAGTTAGTGAGATCTGGTTGCCCAAAGTCAAGGAGCTATTATATTTTCCAGTCGGGCTACCAAAATCTATCTACATCGTAGCTGGTGGGTAATCTAGATAGAAAAAACAATAGCATTGGGAGGTTGAGCTATCAGATTTTGTGAGCCCTGCTACTACTATGCTGCTTATTAATAGTTAGTGACATCTGGTAGCCCTAAGTCCTGAGGCTATTATATTTTTTAGTCGGGCTATTAAAATCTATCTACATCATGCCTGGTGGGTTATCTAGATGGAAAAAACAATCGCCCAGGGATGTCGGGCTATCAAATTTTGCGAGCCCTGCTACTACTTTGCTGCTTAATAATAGTTAGTGAGATAGAAGATGGTTTAGATATTGGGATTAAGGGATGTAGAATAATAGCATTAATATTTTTTAAGTACAACTAAACTGCTAATAAGCAAGGTAATAAGTCACTAGGTAATAGTAAAAATTAGTGCTTAAAAGTTTTACTAAAAAACTATATTATAATGAAAGAATAACACAAATACCGTCATATTTTTCTCTAAAAAGGTTTATGTTTGTCATACTTTGCATAAAATATTTTTTTGCCAAAACAAATACTTTTTTCTGGCATGCATATTTTATTTAAATATATATATATAAATATATATATATTGCTTCACAAATGAGTACATAAACACATGCATAATCTATTGAAATAATTTCCTCTCTAATTCGTGTTATTGTAAATGTGACAACAACAAATAATAGCAACAAAATGCTCAATCAAATCAGTAAAACACAAATTAGCATGACAAATATTTGATGAATATTTGTAGGAATAATGGAATAAATGTGCTTTATTAATTACTAAATGATCAATACATAATGCTTGCATTATAGAAACTACTGAACTGTACGAAAGTAGGTTTAAAGTTCTTCAAAATGCTCGCTGTGGCCTTTGGATTTAGCCACTGAAGTATGATAGCAGACTGTTTTAAATGTTATTTGTTCTTTTTCTTTATTTAGTAGATTATAGTAGTTCCAAATAGTAGATATTTCCAACAAAAATGCATGAAGTGGTCGGATATTATGTCTGACCAACTCCCTTTCTTCCAGCGAAATACTGTCCCATTTACCATGACCTTATGGCATCTACAATATTTTATTTATTTATTTATTTATTTATTTATTTATTTATTTATTTATTTATTTATTTTTGCTATTGTTGTTGTTGGTCTATTAAGTATTGTTACTAGTCTGAGTTTGTATTTTTATTGGTATAGACCTTTAACATCTGGCAAAGATACCACAAATGAAAACTAGTGTTTGGGCTAGTTTCTTGTGATAAATAAGTAAAAATAAAATAAATTAAAAGTAAAAAAAATAAAATAAAATTACAAAATGATCAATACATATTGTTTGCATTATAGAAGCTGCCGAACTGTAATGAAAATAGGCTTAAATTCATCAAAATGCTTCCTCTGGCCTTTGGATCTGGCCCCTGAAGCATAGTAGCATACTGTTTTGAAGGCTATTTGTTCTTCTTTTTTATTTAATAGATCATTGACAAACAAAGACTGGATTAAAATTAAGATACAAATCAAACCAAATGAAATTCGTTGCAAATAGTGGATTTTTCCAACAGAAATGCATGAAGTGCTCAAATATTATTATTTGACCCACTCCCTTTCTTCCAGCGAAATACTGTCCCATTTACCATGGCGTTATGACGTCTATAATTAACAAATGCAACAAAAAACACACAAACAAGTAATATTTGATCTACTTTTCAAATTGTGAATGCTATTGCAAATTGTTGCCTATCTAATTATTGTTTAGAGTTTGAATTAGTTTCTTTTTGGTATAGTCCTTTAACAATCCTGCAAAATGACTACCAAAGAAAACAAATTCAGGCTTATTTGGGTACATTTACACTCTTGGAAAATGTTGAGTAATGTACACCGTCCCTTGTTGTGTAAAATAAATCAAGTAAATAAAAACTGCTAAAAAAATGCTTCTTAAACTGTCTGTAAAACTAAAATTACAAATAACCTATTGATATTTTTTTATTTCGATTAGGGTATGGAATTTATCCTAGACATTTCTTGTCATTTTTCTTTCCTAGCATTACCAGGGTCTTCGAAAGGCATGTCCACAATGACCTGGTCGCTCATTTTCCCAGTCAAGCCATTCATGCACAGCGCCACCACCTGGACAACATAGCTACTGTTTGCCAGCAGATTGTGAATAATGGCCCCCTGGAAACAGACACAAGACAACATTACACCACCTGTTTTCAGCCATCGGGAATAGTTTAACCTTGAGCTAATGACTATCATATAACAACGCTGACTGATATCCCTGCTTTACTCAACACTATGCAGATGCTCTACAGTTTCTCACCACATCCTGGTCTCCGTCTGTCAGATACTGCTGTTTGGGTGGGTTTTGTCCCTGTAGTCTTTGGTAGGTGACGGAGTAGCGCTCAATCACGGTGTCATAGACGGCACGAGGTCTTTCCCATGTCACCACGATGCCGGTGAAGTTCTGAGAGTCCGCCTGAACATTTTGAGGCTCAGAGCTGCACACTAAACACAGGAGAGATGCACGTTATATGCAATCATATCCAGATACATAACAACACTAGTGAACTGACCTCCTTTCACAGAGAAGGATTTAACCGATAACTGAGGTAAGCAGCCTTTTAGGGTCCTGTGGAGCTTAAAATATGATAAAACAATCTGCATTTGAACTGTGTTAATTTGAATTATTGACAATTGTAATTTAATAAGGTTACTGGGTCATTGGTTCGAGCCTCGGCTGGGTCAGTTCAGTTGGCGTTTCTGTGTGTAGTTTGCGTGTTCTCCCTGCATTCCCGTTGGTTTCCTCCGGGTACTCCGGTTTCTCCCACAGTCCAAAGACATGCGATACAGGTGAATAGGGTAGGCTAAATTGTCTGTAGTGTATTTGTGTGTGTGTGAATGAGTGTGTGTGGATGTATCCCAGGAATGGGTTGCGGGTGGAAGGGCATCCGCTGTGTAAAAACTTGCTGGATAAGTTGGCGGTTCATTCGGCTGTGGCGACCCCAGATTAGTAAGGAGACTAAGCCGAAAAGAAAATGAATGAATGTAATTTAATAAAACTGAATATTATATAGTATTAAAAACTAACTCACTTGAATATTGAACATCTAAAATTTAATAGAACTAAACTTTTTAAGGCAGATTTTTTTTAGGCTAGAACTTTTTTAACCTAGAATTATACCCATATAAAACATAGATTAGGCTCTATAAGGCTCCAGGAAACTTGCGGGGCCCCAATAAATACCTACAATTATTAATAATATTTCTATTTAGCATAGATTATGCTCCATAAGGCTCCAGGAAACTTGCGGGGCCCCAATAAATACCTACAATTATTAATAATATTTCTATTTAGCATAGATTATGCTCCATAAGGCTCCAGGAAATTTGGGGCCCCCCAATAAATATGTAGAATTATAAATTATACCTATATAAAACATATGCTTCTTGGGTGGGTCCCGATAAATACCTATACTTTTAAATATTACCCATATTTACCATAGATTTCTGTCCTATTTTGTATGGTGAGAGTCTAACGAATAACATTTTTTCAAAACAGAATTCAGATTGAGATTATTTTGTCTTATTTAACCTCCATAGCCTCGGGAAATTTGGGGGCTCCCAATAAATACCTAGAACAATTAATTATACCTATATTTATAACAGATTTCTATGCTATTTTGTATGGGGAGTGTTTAACAAATATTTTTTTTTCAAAGCAGAATTCAAATTGAGATTATTTTGTTGTATTTTAAGCTCCATATGGCCCCAGGACATTTAGGAGGCCACAATAAACACCTGGAATAATAAATTATACCTATATAAAACATAAACTTCTTGGGAGGGTCCCGATAAATTCTTATAATTTTAAATAATACCCATACTTAACATAGATTTCCTATTTTGTATGGTGAGAGTCTAACAATTTTTTTTTTCAAAACAGAATTCAGATTGAGATCGTTTTCTCTTATTTACCCTCCATATAGCCTCAGGAAATTTGGGGGCTCCCAATAAATACCTGGAACAATTAATTATACCTATATTTATAACAGATTTCTAATGCTATTTTGTATGGGGAGTGTCTAACAAATACATTTTTTTTGTATCAATTTGTCCAACACCACCATCAAAACCCCAATCGTAAAACAATCCAGCTTTAAAATGAAATGAAGAGTTAGTTAAAAAAAAAATTATTTCAATTTTTAGATAAGTATAAGTAGATTGAGTAATATAATAAAAAGACAAATCAATAAATAAACAATTTATCCAACCAACAAACACACAAACAGAGGCTGCATATTAGTCGCCATTGATGGAACTGCTTAGAGCCCCAAATCACTAAATCCGCCCCTCATAATTGAAAAGGTTTACAAAGTAATTGTGCTGAACAGAGTCAGAACTCTGACATTTGCATTGCATTAATTATTATATAAATAATAAGGTCAAATTAAATGTAAACATTTTTGAAAATGTAAGAACTGTAACAATATCCGGGAATAAAGACGTGAGATATTAGATGCCGTACTATGTTGTGCATATTCAAAATAAAAATACAATTGAAAAATCTGTAACGTTTAGAAAATCTGTCAAATATTCAGAAAACGATGTTTATTGATTTATTATTGATATCATTATTATTAATGATAATAATAATACACACTTTTTCAACTCATAAATCAATATAAACAACAAACAATAATACTAAAATAATAAAAAATACTTGAAATAATAAAAACTTTTATAAAAATGTCTAATTTTCCATATTGTTTAGCTTAAAACTAATATGATACTTGATAAAAATAAATACAGATCCACATCATGATGACTCATAGCATTTTTGTCTAAGTTTTTAATATAATAAAGTGCTCATATTCAATGAGAAATCAATAAATAAGTATTAAATATATTCATATAAATATTTAATATATCATCATCATAATCACAAAACTATAATGGGGTATTTGCCGAAGCATGCTAATAGGACTTTTAATTTGCCAGTAACCTGGGTTAAGGCAAAATCCGATGCGTTTAAGGTCTGTTTTCTTTAAAAATCAGCGATCTCCACTAGCTGAGTGATATCCGATTTAAAGTGGGTCTCAGATTGTACAAGAAGCACTGCATTAAATTACATTTCCCCCGCCATATCTTTATAATATGAGCATTTATTTTACCCCAGTATATTCAATGGAGCTTAGCTAGCCTGCCGATTCTGACAGGCGCGTGCGAGTAAACGGCTTTTTGTCTCGTTTTACGCTTGAGCAACTAAATAAATGCTAAAGTTTGTTTAACTGAATGTATTTTAATGACATTACAACATCAATGCTGTAAAAGGAACCGTATAAAATGGAAAAAAGTTCACAATAACAGGTAACCGGAAGTGTGGGAACAGCACTAGCATGGGAACACCACTAGCTCGGCATATTCCCTATTAAGCAACAAGATGGTACAAAATAAACAGTAAAAAGATTATTAATATACAGAAACATTATTTCAGTGTGTCTACTACCAAAGTCATGTTTAATTCATTGTGTTGCATTGGTGTGTCTTTGTAATTAATTAAAAATTTCTGAGTTAAACTGACTTCAACACCCATTTGCTAAATTGTGATTATTCAAGAGCCTGGGAGAACACGATTATTGGAAAACAGCATGTCCTGCTTTATTTTTTAATAAGGCGCCGTAACTTCAGCCGAACAGCAACAACTCAGAAAATAGCTTCTAAATCAACTCGGTCTGAAAGAGAATTGCTGCATTTGTTTTCCTGGAGAAGTGCCAAAGTGAGGTTTCCTAGCAACACACACTGACTGCCGGGACTTTAAAGAGCGTAGCGCATGTGTGTGCATGGTCAGAGGAGGAGAAGCAGCGTACTAACTCTGCATCTGACCTACAGAGCTGACCTCTCACTCATTATTGCATGCTATTCATGTGTGTTTCTGAGTGTCTAGGCTGTGCATTGTGTGTATGGATGATGTGTGATTGTGCTGTACGTAGATGTGTGTGCAGCATGTGTTTAGTTTGTGCAGAATATGTGTAAGTGTGTAGAATGAATGAACAAGTATGCAGTATATGTGCGAGTTTGCATGTGATATGCGTTAGTGTGCAGTATGTATTCTGTGTACGTGGTGCAGTATTTGTGTGTAGTATGTGGATGTAGTGTGTTTTAGTCTTCATAACAGAGCTGATATATGTGTGTGTGTGTGTGTGTTTAATGTATTATGTGTATGTAGTATTTGTGATTGCTTAGATTGTATGAGTGTGTTAGTATGTATACATGTGTAGTGTAGTGTTCAGTATGTGCATTGAAAAGGATGTGTAAGTGTAGTATGTAGTATGCATGGTAAGTAGAATGCGTTATGTATAGTATGTAGCATGTTAGGGGGGATTATGCAATGTAGTTTGTGCAAGTGTGTGTCATGTAGGAGTGTGTGTGAGTGTGTAGTATGCATACTGGGTGCAGGGACTTCCTCTGTGCCTGTGTAGGATGAGAACACTTGTCCCATGAACTGCTGCTGTTGTTCTCTGTAGTTGTTCTGCAGGTAGTCGGTCAGCATGGCGTATCCGGCCTGCTGTATGGTCATCACTTCACAGAACACCTCCAGCTACACACACACATACACACAAACAAACACACAAAAACAAATCAGACCACAATCCACGATCCACTCAATCATTTCATATGTAGTTAGCATGCAGAAATGTGTAGTATGTGTGCTGTACAGAATGTGTTGTATGCATTGCGATTAGATTGTATGATGAATGGAGTTTGTTAGGGTGCACTTATGTAGTATGTGTGCAATTTGTGCAAATGTGTATTATGTATATATATCCAAGTATATATTTTTTTCTACGAATCAATGAATCTTAAATATGTAAAAAAAGATAAACTAAAAATGTAAATATGGTAAAGCTTAAAAACGTATGTGATGCTAATATTTTTAAATAAAATATAAAGGTGAAACTAAACTAAATTTAAGTTTTAATGAAAACAAAACAGAAGTAATGGTTTTTGAAGGTACCGTTGGGACTCTTCTATTCAATTTGCGTTTGTTAGCTTAGCATACCAAGCCTACAGTCACAAATTTGGAGCTGAAGTTTGACTCAGATTTGAAATCTGACAATCAGGTTAGAGCGGTAGTTAAATCAAGCTTCTTTTATTTAAGAGGATTAGCAAAAATAAAGCAATATATACCAAAACAACCGTTTGAAATCATGCTTTTGTGACCACTAGGTTAGATTACTGTAATGCACTGTATGTGTGGAGTAGCAGGTCAGCTGTTGGCGTTTGCAAATGGTGCAAAATACTGCAGCTTGACTATTAACTAGTACTCGCAAATAGGACCACATTTCCCCCTTGTTAGCTTGGCTTCATTGGTTGCCAATTAATTTTAGAATACAGTTTGAGATATTGTTTTTAAATCTCTAAATGGTCTTGCTACACCTTATATCTCTCTGATACACCTCTATAAGCCCACTCGTTCTCTCAGGTGAGCTGATCAGCTGCTCGTGATTGTCCCAAAAACAAAGCGTAAGCTTAGAGGGGATTGTGCTTTCACTGTGGCAAGTCCTAGACTTTAGAATAATTTGCTTCTGAAAAAAATTATTCAAAGATGATTCCTTGGATTTACTAATTTTTATTTTTTTTTTTACGTTAAGTGGTTGTAAACAATTTATCTGGGCTAAATTTAAACAAACAAATTAAGTTGAACATTATTAAATTTAATTTGTTTGTTTAAATTCAACACAAATAATTTGTTTGCAACAGCTCTGCATGCAACACTGCATTCAAGTCTTCTCCGAAAACGCATTTGCTTCTGTTGGCATTTGACACCTGATCTTAATACCTGGTTATTTTAATTTGTTGGGTTGTCTTTTTTGGGTAGTTTAGCTATATTTTATCATGCATTTTATAGACTATTATGCTCATTTTGTTGTATATTTTCTGAACAGCACTTTGGCTCACTTCTGTGTTTTTAAAGTGCTAAATGAAGTTTGACTTGACTTTTAGTAAATTATATATTAATTTTTATAAACTTAATAAGATCACACATCAGAATTACATTCACAAAAATAATGAGACATGTAGAGCAATTTATTTTAAAATAATTTGAGTAATTAAAAAAATAATTAAAAAAAATTTAATGGCACCACCGTGATGCTCACCAAAAATATGTTTTAATTATTATTTTTAATTACCCAAGTAGCATGATCGCCTCACAGCAAGGCGGCCGCTGGTTCAAGCCTCGGCTGCGGCAGTTAGCATTTCTGTGTGGAGTTTGCATGTTCTCCCGTTGTTTACATGGGTTTTCTCCGGGTGCTCCGGTTTCCCCCACAATCCCAAAGGCATGTGGTGCAGGTGAATTGGGTAAACTAAAATTGTCCGTAGTGAAAGTGTGTGAATGAGTGTGTATGAATGTTTCCCAGTCATGGGTTGCAGCTGGAAGGCCATCTGCTGTTTAAAACATATGCTGGATAAGTTGGCGGTTCATTCCGCTGTGGTGACCCCAGATAAATAAAGGCACTAAGCTAAAAAGAAAATGAATAAACACATTTTTTGGTCACACTTTATAATAAGTATTCATTAATAATTGTTTTTAATGTGTTTACGGATATGAACCAACAATGAACAATACTTATACAGTATTTTTTAATGATATAATACCAAAGTTATGCTTGTTAGACAAAGATAATACTCTACAAGAACTATCAATGAATGTTTTCCGTTAACTAACGTTAATAAAGATTAATACTGAAATTTATGTATTGCCCATTTACTGGTTCATAACCTTAACTAATACTGTACAAACTTAAAGTGTGACCCGTTTTGCTCATGCGTGAATAAACATATGGGAACCAAGTGTCACTTAAAAAGTTTAATTTGTTAAGATGTACTATTTATATTGGCTGTATTTAAACATAACCTTATTAAATGCATGTGAAAAGCTTTAGATGCACAAATGAATTTTTGCAGTAATGAGATAATAATGCAAAACACTGAGCCAGCGCTAAACATTCATCACCTGCACTCCAGCATGCCTGAGTTTCACACATCAAACTTTCATGCTCAAGAAACAGACTGTGCTTTAAAGTGGATCAAACTTGAGTGGAAAGAAAAAAATAACGACGCAACCACACGACAGAAAAAAACTCCTACTCGCTTCTTAAAAGTGAGCTTTAAAGTACAGCTGGATGAGAGGAGCAAAAAGTTGTGTCCCGGCGCTCAGGGCTTTTCTCTGATCCACGCGTCAGGCTGTGGCCAGCTGAAATATTAATGCACAGCCTCCGTTTGCTCAAGAATAGCTCGAAGAGGCTGTCAGGGATAAACTTAACACGGTTCATTTTTAGGAGAGGGGTTTTTCAGTCTTCCACAAAGACACACAATAGTGCCTGCGGCTGCAGTATGGTCAGACCCATCTTAAAAAGATAACTCAAACTTTATTCAGACAAATAACTTTCCTCAAAAAAAGTGCCCATTAAATAACGGTTGGGTTATGAGATGTAATAAGATGTAATAACTCTATTTATTTTGTTGAGAACACTGGTTATTAAATACGAACTATTTAATCAATTGTAGGGTGACCATACGTCCTCTTTTCCCTGAATTTCTTTTGGGACTAAAATAGTCCAGCTGAAATTTGTATATTTTTTAAAACTTCAGAGGTTTGGCTTTTGCTTTATATAGTTGTCATTAATTGTTTGCGTTTTTGCATTACTTTTACCGTTCTCTTTGGCCCAAGCCTTGTTGGACGCCACCATTGGTCATAAATTTACATATGTAAACATATATATATATATATGTATACAGTGTGTGTGTATATACAGCAGGGGAAATAAGTATTGAACATGTCTTAAGAGTATTATTTCTAAACGAGCTATTGACATAGAATGCCAATGACCTCCTCTCATATGGAGAATAAAGTTGTATGCATTGCTCAAGTGTGAGTACAACTCTTGGTCTGTTATACTCTTTTATCAAATGTGAGCTTTAATTAGTATTTTCTAATGGTTTTGAGTCAGGTGATTGGCTGGGCCATTCTACAGCTTGAATTTTTTTTCTCTGAATGCATTTGAAAGTTTCCTTGGCTGTGTTTTGGATCACTGTCTTGCTGAAATGTCCACCCTGGTTTGATCTTCATCATCCTGCTAATGTAGATGTTGGACTGAAGCTAATACTAATATTCATTTACACGGAGGAAGAGCAGAGGGTTACTGAATAACAGAGATTTCAGCTGCTGTCTGGGTTTTCACTGCCTTTCTACACCTTCCTTTCTTCATGTGTTCAATACTTTTTACCTGTGCCATTTAATTTTATTATATGCCTATCTTCATTTGTAAACTAATTAGATTTGTTACCTTTTCATATGTGGATTTCTATGGTTGTTAAAAACATCTGGGGAGAATTTCAAGTCAAAAGCACCTTTAGAAATGAAGGTGACATGTTCAATACTTATTTCCCCCTCTGTAGCTTGTAAAGAACACAGTTTGTGTGTCTCTTTAAATGCAAATGAGCTGATGTTTTCCCAAAGAGGGCGGAGCCTTTACATGCAATTCTGACACAAGAAAACAAACAAATATCATGCAACCAAAATGTCTGAAATGATCAGTAGTGGATTAAAGCCTTACATGATCCGGAGAGGAAGAGGTTACAAGTTCTAGATGCACAAGGGCATTTCTGAAATATTACTGGAGAATAAAATCTAAATTTCACACTTTTCATATGCTTGCATAAACATGTTCACCAAAAAGAACAACATCAAACACATTGGTTGTGATATTTCATGGTTTTTGGATTGATTGTATTTCACTTTAGATCACTTAAACACACAGAAAATGTCAATTCTTCACAAGACGCCCGATTTCTTATAGAATTAAATGTAGAAAATAAAAAACATCTTTATAAATATGTTTTCTGAGAAATATGATGAGGTGCTCAGTAATTTTCCATGCTGTATATTTGTAATGCCACTTTTAAAATAGTTATGTTTGATATAAAATGTAATTAATTAATTAATAACCTAGCTTTATCATTTTTATAAACAACATAGGACAGGTTTTGAAACCGGTGCTGTAGAAAAAGTGGGCGGGTACTAACAAGCAAACCCTCCAATCAATTCTCAGTGTTCAAAATCAAGCCCCGCCCTACATTTTTGCTAATCTAAGGAGTCATCTAATGCTTCATAATAGGGAAGATTAGTTGAAATAATAGGGATTGCAATTTCTGCTTCATGCTGACATGAATAGTAATCTGTGTATACATCCTGACCTGGGTTTCAGAGATGCCCACAGTGTTTTTAAACACGATCCACTCCACATTTTCAGAGCAGGGCGGTGCAGTGAGCGATCCGTTGTACATGAAGTATTTTTCAGTGTTTTCTGGAAGCAAAGCCAGCAGAGAAAACTCCTCCACAGCGCTGCTTTTACCTTAACATCAAATACAAGCGTGTTAGAATTATGCAGATCAATTCTGAATAATGCAAATAATATGTTGGAAAAATGAGGGCATACCAAATCTGCTCACGTTATTCACCCCTTCAATAATGGCTGCGTAGTCCTGGTTGTCTTCAATGCTGGCCTGAGAAGCAGACCGTGCTCAGGTTATTATGATAGAAAGGTTGCAGATATGCATGGTGTGACTTTATATGAGTTAATATACAGGTGTGCTTGTGCTTATTGTTCACAGGATGATGAAAATGTCACCTCGAAAAGGACAGCCACAGCAGCGATCTTTCCTCCGCTGCTCATCGCCTCGTCTATGGATTCAAACTCCAAATCATCAAAACAATAAATCTGCATCTAAGAGAGAGAAAGAGAGACAGAGGGAGGCAGATAACTCACTTCCATCCATTTCATTTACAGCTGAAATCGGCTTAAAGCTAACATTTAAGTGCATTGACAGAATTTATTCCTGTGCTAAAATGATTATATATGCAGAGTATTTGTGTATGTGTTTGTAAAGCTAGATTAAACAATAGATAGAATGATGGATGGCTGGATAGACAGACGAACGTACGTACGGACAGATAGATAGATAGATAGATAGATAGATAGATAGAAAATGAATGGATGAATGGATGGATGGATAAATAGGTAAATAGACAGACGGACGGACGGACGGACAGACGACAGACAGACAGCTAGATAGATAGATAGATAGATAGATAGATAGATAGATAGATAGATAGATAGATAGATAGATAGATAGATAGATAGATAGATAGATAGATAGATAGATAGATAGATAGATAGATATTTATTCAATCATTCCTACTGAATTATGTTTTCATTTATTTTTTCATTATTCTCCTTTATACAATAAGCATATATAGTATATTAATACAATAAGCATTTATAGTAGCATTACATTCAAACTTTAACAAAGGTTAACTTCCAACATCATAATGTATTACATTTTTGTTATGTCCTTTCTACAGTACAGAATACTGGTTAACTGATGAATACATCACATTATGATAAAAAAGTCTAAATAACTGTGAATCTTCAGTCTGAAAGAGTAGTGATTTAATCGTGTGCTGAACTTTACCTCCAGGGGGAACCTGTTGCCATTCAGGCTGTGTTCTGATCCGTCTGAAGTGGCGTTACATCTGCCCCAGTGGAACGTGATCCGGCCCACTTTAAACCTGGATCTGAGCCCACCTCCACTTATGAAGTACTCACTGTTCAGACCAATCACCACTAGAAAACATCACACACACACAGACACACACAGAGGCACACGTACATACAAACATAGCCACACGCATACAGAGAGACACACAGACAAATGTGCATACATACACAAACACACACACAGACACAAACATGCACACATACATATGCACACAATTACACACAGACACATGCAGACACACACATATGGATGCACACGCAAATGCAAACAGACACACACACACACATACAGAGACACACACAGACAAACATGCATGCATGCACACAAACATATGCATGCACAAGCACACATACAAAAAAAGACACACACACACACACAATCACACAGAAACAAATGCACACAGACACACATGCATGCACACACACAAGCACACATGCACAAATATACACGCACACAGACACACATTAACATGCACACAGACACACACATACACACACACATGCACACACACAAAAAACACACGCACATACACACAGACATAAACATGCACACACAAACATACAAACACACACACACACGCACGCGCACACACACACACACAAGATTAATGACCACATTAACATGTGCAATTGTGTTCCTCCCTCAAAGCTTAATTGCTCATCTTTCATCCTTCATCTCTTCACCTTGATAACAGATTCATCTTACGCTCTGCCTTTTGTGCCGGAATAATCCGCCATTCTCACAAAGTCAAAAGGTTTAGTTTTAATAAAACCACGTAAAGGCGAGCAGCTGCCATTCACAGCTAGCAGAACAGAAACCATCATCATTTCAGTAGATTTTCATTCTCCAGCGCCTCCATTAGTCTGCCAGTGATTAATCTCAGCTTGTAATTGTATTCATCTGAGGACGAGGCTCCCGAGAGTTAATACATCTGTATAATTTCACTGAGTGCCGTTTTAGGAGAGTGAATTCAAATGCCAGACACGTTTTATCCACAACTCATCACAATCGAACAATTAAAGAACACCGTGTTTTGGTGAACGTGCGATTCAGAGAACAAAAATACAGTCAAAATGTATTGTGTTAATGCTGCTGTTAAGTGATGAATCTGCTCATTCTGAATGTCCGCTCAGTCTTCAATTCAGAGTTTATTTTGTGATGGAGATTGCTAGAAAGGGGTTGCATGGTGGCTTAGTGGTTAGGACTGTCCTCTCACAGCAAGATCGTTGCTAGATTGAGTCCCGGCTGGGCCAGTTGGCATTTCTATGTGGAGTTTGCATGTTCTCCCCGTGTTGGAGTGGGTTTCCTCTGGCTACTCCGTTTTCCCCGACAGTCCAAACACATGATCTATAGAGGAATTGAATAAACTAAATTGGCCATAGTGTATGTGTGTAAATGTGAGAGTGTATGGGTGTTTCCCAAGACTGGGTTGAAGCTGGAAGGGCAGCCACTGCGTAAAACATCCTGGATAAGTTAATATGATATGATAACAATATGACAACAGTATGTAAAATGACTATTTATGTGGAAAAATCTCTCTAAATCTTAAGATTTCTCTGCCATGAATTTGTTTTTCCTTGATGCTGCTGTTGTTCTTTGAAGGGCAGCCACTGCGTAAAACATCCTGGATAAATTGGTGATTTATTCTGCTGTTGCGACCACTGATAAATAAAGGGACTTAGCTGGAGGAAAATTAATGATTGAATGAGACTGTTCGGAGCTCAAACTAGTGACCTTCTTGCTGTGAGGCAACAGTGCTAACCATTGAGCCACAATGCCGCCAAATTGAGATTCATACATCAAATAAATAAATTGGCTTTGCATTGACGTATGGTTTGTTATGATGTCTATGAAATCTGAGGTTGCAAAATAATCAAAATACTAAGAAAATAAGCATTAAAGCTGTCTAAATTCGGTGTTTAGTAATGCATATTAATAACAATAATTGTTGATACAATTCCAGTAGGAAATTTACTAAATATCTTAATGAAACATGACCTTTACTTAATATTCTAATGAATTTTTATATAAAAGAAAAATCTTTCATTTTAACCCAGGGGTGGGCAATTCATTTTAAGGGGCCACAGTAGACTCTGGGGCAGTTTTAGAGGGCCAGACCAATACAGATCATTTGTATTTAAAAAAAACAAAACAAAAACCCAAACATTCTGTGAAACTGTTTAATAAACATTCAATAAATACTCTAAAGTTACAAAAAAGGACCAATGTTACACAAACAAAGTATTTGAAAGATCAGCATCAAAATATCTATCCCATACAAATGCCATGGGGTTGTTAGCTTGATTGCTTCACCTTAGTTAATTCATATTTGTTTATGGTAAGACTTTATTTTGATGGTCCCTATTGGACATTTTTGTTAAATAAAAGTTGCATTGAAACTACATGCCAATTACTTCTCATTTGAATATTAATTGACTGTCTGCTTAATATCTGCTGAAACTGTTCATGCAACGCATTTAACTGACTAAGAAACTTTGCATGTACATGTCAACTTTGAGTGTACTGAAGTTTAGTGAATGTTTGCTAATATCTGGGAAGTTTCACACCTGTTTTGCCGTCATTAGTGATGGTGGTTGAATCAGTGGTTGGTTGTTCCCAGTTCTCCAGCTGCAGGTTCTGGTACTGAAGCCTGACCTGAGTGAACTCCTCACTGATGTCAATGGGAGACTGCCTGGCATTGCCACACACTGGATACTTCTTTACCCAGTGCTTCTGGTTCAGGGCTCCTGTGAAGAGCAGAGGGTAAGCAAATCAAGTAAGTAGAAATTAATGCAACCAAAATCAAGATCAGGTAAAAATCGTCTCAGGTAAATTGGCTATAGTGTATGAGTGAGCATGTTTCTCCGTACTGGGTTGTGGCTGGAGGGGCATCCACTATGTAAAACATATGCAATTGAAGTTGGTGGTTCATTCCTCAGTGGAATAAATAAGGGACTAAGCCAAAGAAAAATGAATGAATGAATGAATTTAGATAATTTTTTTGCTAAATCTAAACAAACATCAAAAATTCTTTCTATTTTAATTGCCTTTAATATTTCTTGTTATTTAAAAAGTCCTACAAAGTGACAGTATTGCATTTTAATTATTATTAATAATTTGTATAATGTTAATACTATATTCTTAAAATCCTATGTTCTTAAATAATAATGTAGACCGACTATATAGAATGTAGAATTATTAAAAATATAATTTTGTTGTTGTTATTATATTATAAACATTATTATTATTATTATTATTATCATTATTATTATTATTATTATTATTACTATTATTATTATAAGCATTGTCATCATTTTTATGATTATACACATAATGATAATAATAATAATAATAATGTTTTTAAACATAAAAATTATTATTAAATATTAATAAATATAATAAATGTAATAAATTTTATTGTCATCAATATTATTATAAATATTATCATTATTATTATTATTATTATTATTATTATAAACATGGTCTTAATCAACATTATTATAAAAAATAATTATAAATGATCAATAAATAATTACTTTAAAAATGGTGCAACTACGCATGAAGAGATCCATTAAAACATTACAATTTCTGTCTATTTTTATTGCCTCTATATTTTTATATTATTTAAAATGTCCAACAGAGTATTCATGTGAATCATTGAACAATTCTAATATCATTTTAAAAATCAAACATTTTTAAATAATAAGGTAATGTAAACTTTATATACACTGCTTATTTAAAAATGTAATTATTATTATTATTATCGTTATTATTATTATTATTATTATTATTATTATTATTAATAATAATAATAATTGTTTTTAATAATAATAATAATAATAATAATAATAATAATAATAATAATAATAATAATAATAATAATAATAATAATAAACATTACTGTCACTCTTATGATTTAAATAAACTATGGAAATACATGTGCAGACCTGTCTAAAAGTCATAATATTTGCACATATCCTATTTATTCAAAAACTACAGTAAGTGAGGGATTTTGCATATCAAATACCCTTTTTCTTTAAATGTTAATAACGCATGAAAAATGCACTATATAAGATAAAGATATAAAGAGCCTTAAAGTTCATATTTTATTAAAGCACATGCTATAGATCTGGCCTATTGATGCGCAAATTTTCTGACACATTTGGGTCTAATTCAAGTTTCAACAGTTGCCAGATCCGGCCCATAATTTCCTGTTCTCTCCATAGCAAAAAGGCCAGAAAATGTAGAGCACGGGCATATGGCAGAGTAATGAAGCACATGGTATGGCATATGAAGAGTCTGTGCTGATCTGAGCAGAATAAAGTCTCTTGCAGTGGTGCTGAACATAAACCAAACACTGTGATATCTTTCACACTGACTTCAGCAGATGGCAGCGGGTCACACATCACTGAACAAGCACATCAAATAAACACCAACACTAAACCGCACACACATAAACACAGATGATTAAAAGCGTCCCCGAGGAAGCCTCTTTAACTACATGATGAAACGTTAGATCTGTATTAGCAGCGCTAACGTTCCCCGACAGGACAATTAGTGCGCCTGTTATTTTCACTTTCACCTCTCGGGTGGTAATTCTTCACCCGCTAAAGCTACAACATAATCAGAGGCTCCTATTGTGCCATTGGAGAAGATGTAATGTGTGCCGGCAGCTGGCTCTCTGCAACTCTCACATGGCTGCCCACTCAAGCTAAGCAGGACTGCACCCGGTCAGTAAGTGAGACCAGCAGGGGGCACTCAACCTGCGGTCTGTGTGGGTTCTAATGCCCCAGTATACTGCTCTATACTGCTCAGTGAGCGCAGTCTTTCGGATGAGACGTTAACCGAGGTCATGACTCTCTATGGTCATGAAAAAAGACAGACACACACACACACAGACAGACAGAGAGAGAGAGAGATAACACAAACACATTTATTAATGTGGCACTATTACAGACAATCTTACATGCGTTTACGCACACACACATGATAACACGAACACACACTCGTGATAACAAAGACACATTTACTAATGTGCCACTATTACAGATGCGTTTATAGACACACAAGTGCTAACACGGACACACACACAATAACACAGACACACATAGCTAACACAGACACACACACACTCGTGATAACACAGACAAATTTACTAATGTGCCACTATTACAAATGCATTTACAGACACACGATAACGCGGACACACACGATAGCAGACACACACACACACACACACTTTTGATAACACAGACACATTCATTAACGTGCCACTATTACAGATGCGTTTACAGACACACAAGTGCTAACACAGACACACACGATAACAGACACACACAGTAAATGCAGACACACACACACACTTGTGATAACACAGACACATTTACTAACGTGCCACTATTACAGACAGACACTATTACAGATGCGTTTACAGATACACACATAATAGCACAGACACAAACCATAACGCAGACTCACACACTCATGATAACACAGACACATTTATTAATGTGCCACTGTTACAGATGCGTTTACAGACACACAAGTGCTAACACGGACACACACACACGATAACACGGACACACACGGCTAACATGGACACACACACTCGTGATAACACAGACACATATACCAATGTGCCACTATTACAGATGCGTTTACAGACACACACGATAACACGGACACACACGATAACAGACACACACAGCGAACGCAGACACACACTTGTGATAACACAGACACATTTACTTATGTGCCGTTATTACAGACACTATTTCAGATGCGTTTACAGACACACGATAATACGGACACACACACGATAACACAGACACACATACCAATGTGGCACTATTACAGATGCGTTTACAGACATGCACATGATAACACGGACACACATATAATAACACAGACACACACAGCTAACACAGACACACACACACACTCGTGATAACACAGACACATTTATTAATGTGCCACTATTACAGATGCGTTTACAGACACACACGATAACACGGACACACACATGATAACACAGACACACACGGCTAACACAGACACACACACACACACACGTGATAACACAGACACATTTATTAATGTGGCACTATTACAGATGCGTTTACAGACATGCACATGATAACACGGACACACAAACACAATAACATAGACACACACACCTAACACAGACACACACACACACTCGTGATAACACGGACACATTTATTAATGTGCCACTATTACAGATGTGTTTACAGACACACAAGTGCTAACACGGACTCACACACACGATAACACGGACACACACGGCTAACACGGACACACACACTCGTGATAACACAGACACATTTAATAATGTGCCACTATTACAGATGCGTTTACAGACACACAAGTGCCAACACGGACACACACACACGATAACACGGACACACACGGCTAACATGGACACACACACTCGTGATAACACAGACACATATACCAATGTGCTACTATTACAGATGCGTTTACAGACACACACGATAACACGGACACACACTATAACAGACACACACAGCGAACGCAGACACACACTTGTGATAACACAGACACATTTACTAATGTGCCATTATTACAGACACTATTTCAGATGCGTTTACAGACACACACGATAACACAGACACACACACACACGATAACCCGGACACACACATTCGTGATAACACAGACACATTTATTAATGTGGCACTATTACAGATGCGTTTACAGACATGCACATGATAACACGGACACACAAACAAAATAACATAGACACACACACCTAATGCAGACACACACACACACACACACACACACACACACACACTCATGATAACACAGACACATTTATTAATGTGCCACTATTACAGATGCGTTTAAAGACACACAAGTGCTAACACAGACACAAACATGATAACACAGACACACACAGCTAACACAAACACAGACACACACACACTTGTGATAACACAGACACATTTATTAATGTGCCACTATTACAGATGCGTTTACAGACACACACGATAATACGGACACACACACACGATAACATGGACACACACACTCGTGATAACACAGACACATATACCAATGTGCCACTATTACAGACACCATTACAGATGCGTTTACAGACACACACGATAACAGACACACACAGCTAATGCAAACACACACACACACACACACACACACATTAACTAATGTGCCACTATTACAGATGCGTTTACAGACACACAAGTGCTAACACGGACACACACATGATAAAACAGACACACACAGCTAACACAAACACACACACACACACACACACACTCCTGATAACAGACACATTTACTAATGTGCCACTATTACAGACACTATTACAGACGCACTTACAGACACACACACGATAACACAGACACACACACTTGTCATAACACAGACACATTTACTAATGTGGCACTATTACAGATGCATTTACAGACACACACACGATAACAGACACACACAGCGAACACAGACACACACACTCGTGATAACAGACACATTTACTAATGTGCCACTATTACAGACACTATTACAGACGCACTTTCAGACACACACACGATAACACAGACACACACACTTGTGATAACAGACACATTTATTAATGTGCCACTATTACAGATGCATTTACAGACACACAAATGCTAACACGGACACACACATGTTCGAACACAGACACACAAACATGCTAACACACTCATACGAGCTAACA